TTCTCTTTTACATGATGACGTTGTCTTCTAATTCCCTTCTTTTTAACACCTTCCATTTTTTCGTAAGTAGGGACTTTTGAAGGCAATGTTGCTAGTCGAACCTGCAATGCATTTGTTCGGTTCGGACCAATCACAATCAACTCCGACGCCCCTACATAGTAAAATTTTGGAAACCTAATATTATTTACTAATAAACTTTCAAATGAATATTTGTAATAAGCTTATAAACCCTTTATAATATACTAATAATAATTAATGCAAAGAATTTTTCCATAACACTTATGTATGTCTTACATTATATTACTTTCATTTCGTCCTTTACTTTTGTTTTAATTTTTTATTTTCAATTTCCAAATTTAATTTTATGATTACGTCACTTTTTCATTGAGTAGTCGTTTTGCTACCAAGTAATAAGTCGTCTTGCGATCTAGTCCTTCCATTTTGAACACATAGTCATTATAATACCGAATCCGTTATATGGTATATATTTCTCAGTGATTTTGTGAATGACAACTTCTAAATATTCGCCAAATTTCCACGCGAATAAAGAACTTGCTCGTAAAGTTAGAATGCCTGACTCACGTGTCAAAAGTTCAACTTCATCGAGCCGTTTTGAAAAAGTTCTTCCTAAGAGGTACATATTTTTTTTCCCCCTTGCAATTTAAGCGAAAGAGACGTTGCTCGTTGGTTTTCGCTTACGCTTAATGAAATGCTCAACGTTTTTTCGCTTTCATTTTATGGACATAAAGCTTTTTCATACAGGCTTAATCCGATTCTTTGTCATATTGAGTGTGATGGCTCCCTTACTCTTATTTATTTTTTATAAAATCTTTTCTTTGACTCTCTAGTCATCAGTATCTCTATATAAAAAAACTGAACTAAGTGTAATATTAAAACAGTTATATCGTAGGTAGGTATCGTAGTTGAGTGACACAATTGACGAGTTGGAATGTAAAATTTTAGGATCCATTTTAGCTAATAAATTTATAAAGACTGTAGCTTTGCAATAAATACAATAGTCCTTCGATCGCACTCTACTAGTCAGTAGACAAGGTGTAAAAACTAAGTTAGAAGGTTTATCAGTTAGAAAAACTTGTAAACGTGACGCAAAATTTTCAAAACAAAATATATTTAACCCGGAGTCGATAATGTTTTTATATGAATGAAGAAGTAAAAATAAAACAGTCTATAAATGCAGAACATGCGATAAGAACTCTTATCGCATGTTCTGCATTTATAGACTCTTTAAAATATTTGTCCATCTTGGAAATGAGGTTATTGAACTTCTAAAAATCTGACGATGAAGAAAAGTCAGGTGTGAAAACAGTTTAAAATAACATGGAACTAAAGGGAATAATTATGACATGTTAAGGTTTTTTTAGGAACAATTGTATTCCACATGTAACTGAGTACATGGAACTACTGGGAATAAACTCTTTTGTGCGACAAAAATTAATTTTAAAAATTGCACTAAATAATAAATAGGCATTTCAGATATTATTTGAAGTCAAAACACGAAATGTGTCACATACTCCCACGCGCCCGTCAAACACGAAATAATTTACAGGCTCCCAGCGCGCCCTTGAATACTCAAATAAGCTGATATTCTGTTCTGTGTTTATCATAGATAATAATTGATACTCGTAATATTGAGTAATAAACATGGAGTGTGTAATACCTCCAACTGAAAACTCGCAATGCTTAAAAATAAGAACAAAATTGTTAGAATATATGTCGAGTACTTAGGTTTTCGCGAATGTTGCACATTGAAAATGAAACTACTTTTTTCGGATTTAATTAACGTATTTTTTTTTTTTTTAAACCAACGATCAGTCAGCCGTGGTCATAGGCCTGTAAAGGGAACGAAACGTTTTGAAATTTTCAACATCGTTACATGTTTAGTTTAAAATTACAGTTTTCTTCTATATAGAAGTAAAGCAAGTAAGCATAGTAAAGGAATTGCTAGTTACCATTCAAAATATAGAACAAAATATAGTAATTTCTTGATTTCAGAGAATGATAGTATCATAGTATAGTATGGTAACTTCATACAAAAATTGCAGCGTGACTTATTAGTGTACGCGCCCGCCACGTCCCGTGTACGAACTCACACATTAGTATTTCTCGCGTTGCATAAAGCTAGTGCTGATCGTCTCACGCGCTTTTCATTGTTATGCGAATGTGTGCGTCCTTACACTGAGCCCAGCGGGCGAGCGTACATACAAATCACGCTGCTACTTTGTGTGAAGTTAACATACTTCTTATTGTAACTATGGTAGTATCCACTCTATGTGCATTACTTACGTGAAGTGAAAGTAAATGTAGGTACTCTGCTTATTCCCTTGAGAAGAAGTAATGTCTTAAGCTTGCCTACGATATTACATCTATCCAATGTCAATTGTTAACATTATTGTAATAGTCAATCAATCGTTGCCAATTGATGAAGGATGTTTATAAATAATAAAACGTTAATTGGAACAGTATCAGGCAATCAGATAATCTGTAATGTTGTGTTATTAATTTTACAAGTGACTGCATTTTGAAATCACAACAAAATGATACGGGATTATTTTTAATAAATAACTAATCTCTAAATACGACATTCTTATCATTAAAATAACAACTATTATTATTATTTATTATTGATACAAAGATCGAATACAAAGAAAAATTCCTGCGGTATAGCTGGACTCGAACCAGTGTCTGTTGCCATGCCGGGGCCACAGTTGGATAAGAGAGGTGGCCGGCATGGTAACAGACACTCCAGTCTGATCGAAAAAAATTTTCTTTGTGTTCAATCTTTATATTAATAATAATAACAAACTCGTGAAGTATTTTTAGTAGCAGTAGAGCTCCCAGTGAAAGAGTTCATCCAAGGAAAAACATACAAAAGATCTGTACATCTATTGGTAGCCCTATGGCATTTTTTATATACTGCTATTCTCGCATAGAGATTTCGCGCTTTATATCGCTCTCGCGCTAGTCACGCCCTGTCGCGCAAGCCCTACAGGGAAGTACTGTCACTCGAAATAGTCCACCGAAAGTCGCCTGAGTACTTGGTGTAAATGCGCCTTTACTACCAAATATAGATCTACAAAGTGTCTTAATAAATTATCTTTGGTAAATTTATCATGTTTTGTCAAAAGTCACGGAGCAAAAGTTGTTGTTTATGATGTTAGTAATCTGCTGTTTAAAAATAACCAAAAGTATATTGCCATGTATTCGTCTTACAACACTCATCCGTAACAGTAGTCACGATGCATCGAATAGTTTCCGTTGTGGATTATTGATTATTTTACATGTTTTTTTTGTAAAATTTTTATTGACATGGATTATTTCATCAAAATAAACCATGGGTTTAATTAATAAAAGTGGATTTTGTCTATATATAATATCACTGAGATTCATAGTGTCTATTCTATACACATAATAGCGCTCAAAATTAGCACAGTACGATAATGTTTATAAAGTTAACTATTGCTTTGTACAATCGATGCCCTTAGCTGACCTTTTGGTTCTAAGAGCTTTCTTACGAATTCAACGGAAAAGTGTAAGGAAATGCAAGCTATTTGGTTGAAATTCGTATTTATGTAATTAAGGACCAAATTGGCTTAAAAAAATTCGTGAAAAATGAAACGTCATACTTCGAAGACCAACATGAATTTTTATGGCTCACATGTTAAAGGTTAAGTTTGTTAAACACCTTTCTTCACTCTGATTTACTCAGAACCAAATTGACGGTTAAGGGGTTAGATTAAGGTAAAATGTAAACAAAGAAATGTTATGAAATGGGTAATTAATTCTATAGCATATGTTACACCCGTTACTTTGACTAAGGTTGCACTTGGAAGTTCTGCCGGCTCATTGTGTAATGCGATAGACAGTCTTTAGACAAACTCGTCAGTTGCAGTTACTATTTAAACCCCTGTTTGAACTTCAAGTCACAATTTCTGCTTATAATCTGACAAACTTTTTACAATTTTGTCGTTTAATTCACTATTTGTACTAATATTTGTCAAACTCGTGATATTGTTGTCATTTAAACATTGTTTCTACCGATTATTTGTCAAATGAAGACAGCATACTACTATAAATACTATATCTACTGGTCTCTCAGTTGTTACTTTGAATTTATATAAAAGAAGTTTATGAAGGGGTGCTACGTTTTTTTGTTTGGGATGACCCAAATGTCATTGTCAAAATGTGAATGCAGGAGTACTAAACCTTATATTTTTTAAAGAAAAGGTACCTTAGAGCATCAACTGTACTGTAAATTAGCATGTCATTGTGAATTTAATAAACGGTACACCTCTCGCTACTGTGCTCGCACACAAACATAAAATTCAAAGTTGTTCTTTATACACTGAAACGCTATTCAACACTCTTCTGTAGTTGTCTAATAAATAGCTTATTATATTAAGAATAAGAAAAATTGTAGATGTGAAAGGAGATTAATAAAGTTATCTAATATAACAATTATAAAACATATCCAATGCAAATAAGCGTCCTTCAATTACCAGTGCAAAAAAAAATACTAGTATAGGAATAACATAAGTTACTATTTGAAGCCAGTCACCGCCCAAAGCTCTGCGGCCCAAATTCCGCAGTTTACTTTGACCGGTGATCGCCTCAACCTTTATATGACTATGAGTTACACGTTTTGTTATAAGTACTGTAAGTTGTACAAAATAAATAAACAAAGCAACAATAAACATTTTAGTCCAATAAACAATAATAAATATCATAAAAGTCCAAGAATGAGTGTGTTTTAGTACGAAACTGAAAATTATCAATGAATTCAACATAATCAACCAAATAAACTGTCCAAAAATAAGTGTAATTAGTTTAAAAGTGATAATAGATTATAGAACTATTATATATAAATCAGTACTTTTATCTAGATTTGTGAATAATAAATTGCGTTAACTAACTCCATGAATGAGTATTCTTTAGTCCAAAAATTAGATGGATGACAAAAGTGACAGCCCGTCCCTTGATAGGTTCACGCTCCCGGCACGCGCAGACGCAGTTGTGGAGTTATGGCGCGCAAAAATGACGGAAGGTGTGCTCTCACCCGCTCACTTTCAAGACCATTGGAGGGTCACTGTGCCGAGGATATATTCGCCGCAGCCCAACAGGACTTGTTTAGGTAAGTGCACAATGTTCTGTTGTTTTTTCGTGAATTGAGATATGACAGATAAGGAAGTGATGGCAATAGTACAAATTTTTGATATCACCTTATTGGCACAAATAGTGAAAAATGTACAAAATTTCCGAATTTTTTTTAAGATTCGTTTTGGATGATTGGTTTCTATGACCATGAACGTAATTTCGTTATTTAGCTGCTGTAGCAATAGTAATACCATAATTGATTAAGCTCGTTATTTTTATTTTGATAAATTGTAAGATACGTATTTATTATTTCAGATTGGTCATTCGACGAAGAGCTAGCGACGAAGTTACTCTTGCAACCACTAGAGCAGTTTGTATGGGGTGCGACAGACGCCAATCAGCCGGCGGCGCCAAGACGCTCCACGCTTTGTGGACGAGTCTTCAAACAAGGCGAGCCTGCTTACAGCTGCAGGGAATGTGGTAAGTGGTGTAGATTATATTATTCTACGTGATCGAGAAAGAGATTAACAAGAAAACAGCAGGTTTGCGACATTGACTTTAAAGATAGATAAAAATTTTATAATGTTATCTGGGAAACAATTGAAAAAAAATACACCCAAAAGAAAAGTCAGGAAGTCCAAATACCCAACATGGTTCAGTACTAGTTTGATAGGTATGTTTAAGGAAAAGGATCGTTATCATGATAAGCATAGGAAGTATGGAAATCCACGTGACTTCGACGTTTTTTCATTACTACGCAAAAGATGCAGGGATGCATTGGACCATTGTTTTGACCTATATATAGCACGGCTGGAGGAAAATATCGCTTCAGACATTAAAGCTTTTTGGCGATACACAAAAGCGAAAAAAGTAACCAATGACATTCCCAGACAGATGTACTATCAGGAGCATTCTGCTGAAGTTGGTCCTGATATTGCAAACTTACTTGAGAAATTCTTTTCTTCTGTCTATGGGTGTGCAAATCAATCTACTTATATATCAAACTCTGAACATAACAATTTGATATTGTCTTCTGTTCACATCATGGACAGGTCTATTAAATCGGCTCTTGAGTCAATTGATATTGGAAAAGGCGCTGGCCCTGTGGGATACCACCGGTTTTTGTTAAAAGATATTCTGTTGTTTTGGTTAAGCCCTTGGGTATTCTATACAATAAATCTTTGAGCAATGGTTGTTTTCCTGATTTGTGGAAATTAACTAAGATCGTACCCGTACATAAAGGAGGAGACAAAAAGTGTATTTCTAATTATAGACCTATAAGTATTCTCAATTGCTTTGCTAAGATTTTTGAAAGCCTTGTATATGACCACATTTACTCACACCTGAAGACTGTTATTAGTCCCCAACAGCATGTATTTGTAAAATTCCGATCTACGACTACTAATCTTTTAACTTACATGCATTACTTAGCCTGTGCCTTTAATCAATCGGGACAGGTGGATTCAGTTTATACTGATTTCGCCAAAGCTTTTGATCGTGTCGACCATACTATACTTTGTGTTAAAGCCGAGCGCTTAGGCATTCACGGTTCGCTGTTAAGGTGGCTTCATTCATATCTGCAAAATCGTACTCAACTGGTAACAGTTTATGGTTTTGAGTCAGCTCCGTTTATTGCAAATTCCGGCGTGCCACAAGGATCAAACCTCGGCCCTTTACTGTTTCTGATTTTTATAAATGACCTCCTAAGTCAGTTCAAGTGTGAATGCCTAGCCTTTGCGGACGATATAAAAATTTATCGTAGAATACATTCTGTTGATGATTGTGTCGCATTGCAGGCTGATATTGATACTTTGACTCGGTGGTGTGCGGATAACAATATGTCCCTTAACGTAGCCAAATGCCAGTTTATCACATTTACAAAAAAGGAGAATTACATCCCGTCGTCGTATATGATACGGGGAGTTCAGCTGGAACGTGTAAATGTGGTTCGTGATTTAGGTGTTTGGTTTGACTCGAAGCTGTCCTTTAGAGTACACTACGATTCAATGATTTTAAGAGCAAAGCGGACAATTGGCTTCCTATATCGAGTTACAAAACCTTTTAAGCAAACACGGAGTATAATTATTCTGTATGTAAGTTTAGTTAGAAGTATATTAGAATACTGTAGCATAATATGGTCGCCTATTTATGATAATCATATTAACAGGATAGAGACGATACAGAACGTTTTGTTCGTAGTCTTGCCTCAAAAATGGGATTAAGTAAAAAATTAGTAACGTATAAAGATAGGCTTAACCGATTTCAACTAGATTCGCTTTGCGTGAGACGGCGAGTAGCTGATCTTGTGATGTTGCATAAAATAGTAAATTCCAAATTAGATACTGATATCTTAAGCCATGTTTCACTGAAGGCTACTAATAGGTCTAGCCGAAGGCAACATTTGTTTTCGGTGCCCTCTACTACAAATTATGTGTCATATAATAGTCCTCTTATACGCCTATGCAGACAGTATAATGTCTTATCTAAAGATCTCGATGTATTCCACCAGAGCACTAACACATTCGTAAAAATTATAAAGAACCATGACTGTGCCGTAACACGCGAACACCTCACAGAGTGAAATATTTTCTTTTAAAGTATATCATTGTTTATAAGACTTGGATAGCCATATATAAATTTTAAATGTTATTTTAATGTTGTGCGCGGTTGTTATTGAGATATAAATTTGTTTGTTTTTGTTATAGTGTTATGGTTTTAGGTATATTGTATAATTTGTATCTTGTAACTGTGCCAAAATAAATAAATAAAATAAATAAATAGAGATAAACAGAACCTCCAAGGAAATGAGGAATTCAGTGAAATCTCTGCGCAAACAATACAATCATTTGATAACCTGAAATCGTTAAAACTTAATCCCAATACCGTTAATTTTCAATAAACTTTACGTTTGAAGAGCAGGGATATTGGAAGAGGACCTGAGTACAGATCCGCCATGGACTTAACGTCCTGAGTTTTTTTTTTATAATATCATGTGACGGGACGAACAAGTCGTGCGCCTGATGGTAAGCTACACGCCTGTCCATAACAGTTGCAGTGCCACTCACTTCATAACCGGAACGCAGTAATGATAACATTTCTGCTTGGCTGCAGAAATATGTAAGGTGGCAGTACTTCCCTGGACGGCCTTTTCACATGGAGCTCTATTGCTACTAAAAGTTCTTTAAATCATATGCTGTTTACATTATTAATGATCACTTATGATAAAGTACGTAGAAATATTATCTAAGTCAGTTTTATCGTTAATGTTTTAGGGAATAAGGATGACAGAATAAACTTTGTTGAAAAGATCTTTGAATTTAAAGTAGGGAACAACTACCATAATAAACGACAAGGTATGCTCCGCTTATCAATTCGCCTTCACGCACGAATGTTTGCCGACACTCGCCCATTCCCTGCTCGACTGCGCCCCTCTATTCCGTACTAGTTGTACCGCCGCCGTGTGACGTTTTTGTGACGGGGATGACGAGAGTGATGACCGAATGGAAGAGAGTATAAGGCTGTAAACCTAGCCGTAGCGAAAGGAAAAGCTCGGTCCACTGATATAAAGGTAGAAATGAAAGGCTGTAACGATAAAATAATATAAAAGTACAATAAATGCACTACTTACAATAAATGTTTGTATCGTCATTCGGTTGATTCACTCGCAAACCTCATAACCTTATAGTATAAAACACGTACAACACGTGTAAAACACACAAATGTAGATATTGTGAAGTTGGAATTTTACATGACGGTGGTTTATGAGCACATCCTCTCGTTTTGAGAATTTTGATGGGAGTGATGACGGAATGAACCAACAACATAAGAAGGAAAACAGGATTCCAGAATGATTTAGAATTTTAAAAGTAAGTCAGGAACTAGTAAAGAGGGTAATAAAAAGGTGGGATGACGATGAAGGCAGCATTGTCATAAGCCTCGAACTAATGGCCATCAATTTTTTTGTGTAACCATAGCATTTGGTTTTAATTCCGTCATTGCGTAACGCACTATGTAGATACGAGTTAAAAAAACAAGCAGTGCGTCTTCCGGAGAATTCTCGCGCAGTCCCGGGATTTCCCGCAGCTATCTTATCGTATCTCGAAGGTTACACAGCTACATATAGTTCATTATGCTATGAACTGTTTCGTTATAAATATTCATATCCATTCGCTCAGGGAGAAGTCATGATGAATTTTAGTCAGTACTTAGTTTTAGTACATACTGTAATGTGATGAAGAATATATGTAGTCCTGTGTATCGGAGGTTAAAAAATAAACTGCTTGTGAAGTCATTGGACCAGTATGACTCTCGCGTGAAACATATTTGAAGAATCACTAGTGAATCCAAAAAAGAGAAGTAGTACGTCGTATTTATTGTTACATTGTATCATTTCACGTACATGAACTGACGTCACAGCAACTAGCATGTCTATAAGTAAGCGAAAGGGGATATTAAAATACAATGGTTTGGCTGACAGTTCCAATTTTGGCCAATGCCGTATGCGGCACGATCAAAGTAAGAAGAACTTAAGAACATATCTTTTGATGGACTCCGTGGTTGAGTGATTTGCAACGTAGGTGTTGTTGTATAATATTACATATTTATTTATTTATACCTTGTCTTAAAAGCGTTAATGGTTGCTTGAATTGATATAATTAACAATGAATAATTACAGGAATGGACAATACATGCGTACTATGCGTGGAGTGCTTCAAGGTGTCTGCGCACAGGCACCACAAGTACAAGATGGGCCAATCAGGCGGCGGCGGCTGTTGCGATTGCGGTGATACCGAGGCTTGGAAACGGGATCCTTTCTGTGAACTGCACGCAGTAAGTTTTATTGAAAACAAACACCGACTGGAGTTTTTTTTAAACAACAACAGCTTAATATATGATGATGTTCAATAAATATTCTTAGTTAAAGCTAGCTAGCGCCAATTATTAAATTGTCCACAATCTATTTTTCATTACACATCATTCACATCAAAAATAATAAAAGTACAATATGAAGCGTAGTAAAAAGAGAAAAAAAAAAATAAGAAAAATGAAGCTAAGTGAAGTGCTCTGTCCTGACTTACACAATAGCTTGCATTAAAATAATAATATTAATAAATAAAAAACAATAATAATAATTGTAGTTCTAGCAAGTTTCAAAGCAAACAAATCGTACCATTTGTCTTGAATAAACAATTTAAGTAGATGACGAATATAAATCCTAATGAGATGTCCTTAGAATCGCAAATGCAATTGTGGTTGTGGGGAAATCCCTGTGATTTCGCTGGAACGTAGTAGAAATTATAGAATTTTCATTTATTTTCCAGGCACCACAGGATCAAGAACAAGCACAAGCGAACGTGAGTCCTGAAGTAGTGTACCGCATGAAAATTGTTGCGTCCGTCTGTCTGTCATACGGCTTCAGACTGTTGACGCACGTCGACCATTCGCCCGGGGTGCCCAATGATCTCAGGTGAGGAAATTAAGTGCTCCAAGTCTTTTTTTTATGGGACCAACAAGTCGTGCAATTGTTGGTAAGCGACACGCCTTGTCCATAACAGTTGCAGTGCCACTCGGAGCTTTAAATCGCAAAGGTCTGAGGGGCACTGCCATTGTGCCTATCAGTCTAACACATAAGTTGACAAGTCCCATGTGCCTGTAATTTCACCAGCACTCTTACCCTTCAAAATCGGAACACAGTAATGCTGAAATTACTGCTTGGCAGCAGAAATAGGCAAAGTGGCAGTACTATACTGGATGAACTCTTTCACAAGGAGCTCTACTGCTACTAACTATGTAATAAACATAAAGTCGATATAAATTATGCATTTTTTTCAGATTAAAAGATGCCGAACGGGATCTTCTGCAGATTTTAGACCAGCCAGATCTCTACTGTACAGTTCTTTACAACGACGAAACACATACATTTGAACAGGTATGGCTATTGAGCTTGCTCACTTCATTATCTATCCGTGTATTATGATAATCCATTTTTATTCACAACCAAATCAGTGAAACATCTCCTATCATCCCTAAGGCTTCCACAGAATTAGTTTAAAAATTTAAAATATTATCGTTGACTCAAGCGTATACTGCGAGAATCAAAAATTGATTGATTAAAGTTATCAGCGAAATAACTATATTTGTCGCTTCCCTTCACGCGTTCATTTACATGATTTTTTTTTTATTGTGACTAATTCCTATAGATGTTAATTACGCAGGTAAAGGTGGAAATACTTCCCTTGACGAACTCTTTCACAAGGAGGTATACTCACAGAACAATAAATACAGTAGAAGTGGTTAGTTAGCGGCCGACGCCTGCCAACTTTAGGTCTCGAAAGACCTATTTGAGCTCAGTCCGCCATTTTCGCTTTGTATGGTATGATTGTGTCATTTTTTCGTGCAAATTATCTAAAATCCTAGAAAAATGCCTTAATGTGCTGTTTTAGAGTACAAAAATGATAGCCGCACCATACATATTGCCCGTGGTGGTAGTTTATATCATCGTAAAGTCTTGTTTTAATTAATTTTCAATTTCCTGATCGTCGATATATTTTTTTTGTTACAAGAAACGAAAGTAAAGCTCATACTTTTATTTTTAAGAAACGAAATTAATAACTCCAATTCGTCGTCGTTCAGCAATTAACTGCTAGATGGCAACACGTTCATTGAAATTTCAATATAATAGCAAAACGTCGTAACTTGCAAGAATAAGTATTGATGGTATTGAACTTTTAACGATGCGTTCAGGGTAAAGTTTAAATTATATTAACAATCCAGAATTTGTTATTTCTCTTTAAATTTGGAACTACGACCAATCAGTATCAAGATTTTGTAGTGTTTCAAATTAAGAATGTGTGACTTTTGGCGACATTGGTTCTGGTAGTAATCGAGGCTTAAGGCACTTCCATTGTTTTTTTCTTCCGTGGCTATACTGCTACTAAACTAGCTTCTGCCCACTAGGCCACTAAGCTGCGTCATTAATACTAAACCTACTATTACTGAAAAACTAGTTTGTTGTGGATGCTTACCATAAATCTGTTCAATGAGATATGGTGATTCGTTGATGTTTGTCGTGCGGCATTATATTCCGCAGCATCGGCGTCGCGTGTCGCTTCGTTCTGGCGATGTTCTAATTACGATCACGGCGCATACTATTATACGTCCCTATTATATGCGGCTATTATGTTATGGCCCAGGCAAATAACCTTATTTCCTAATTCACCAGGTCATATCGACACTGACCCGCGTAATGAAGTGCAACCATCGCGACTCCGTGGAGCTGGTGAGCCTCATCGACCGCGAGGGTCGCGCGCTCGTCAAGTGCAGCTCTTTCCAAGTGTGCGACAAGCTCAAGAACGATATTGAGTCGTGAGTCTCGATTTCATACGTACTCCGTGCTAAGAAAACAATTAAAAAAACTATTCGGTCGAGTTTCACCACGAGGAAATTTGCGTAATTTCGTATGTAACGAAAAGTTCACACTCGCTCATAATAATATATAGAAACGGGTATTTGGCTTGTGCAAGTTTACTCAAGGGAAATGCATGACTGTGAACGGGCCTTTAGCTTGACCGTAGCCTAAAGCACATTAATCTTTCCTTACTTATATTCCACAATAATTCCTACTAACTCAAAAGTATCTAAGAACAATTAACGACGTTTTATGAAATGTTTAGATTGTAACAGTCTCTATTTTCGTGCCTTGCAACACTAACAGACGTAATTTTTAATTTTGACAATAATTATTTATATACATCACAACCATGGACCGATGACTCCAGAGGACTGCTAATCTCGATACTAGCCAGCGTAGTCTGGCATCTAGTACCTATTGGTACACCAGATGTCACCACGAGTACCAAAGGCGATCCGACAGCACGTTCGCTAAAAATACTGGCTTCTTGTATTTCATATTAAAGAAAAATTAATTGATATCCACGGCCATTTTTTTTATAATGCCAAGTGACGGGACGACCAAGTTGTGCGCCTGGTCGTAAGCGACACACAGAGCTTTAACTCGCAAAGATCTTAGGGTAACTGCCACTGCGCCCGTCACTCTGAGACATAATGTTGACAAGTCTCATGTGCCTGTAACTTCACCAGCATCCTCATCCTACCAAACCGGAACGCAGTAATGATGACATTACTGCTTGTCGGCAGAAATAGGTAAAGTGGCAGTACTTCTCGGGACGAACTCATTCACGAGGAGCTCTACTCTACTATAAACTACGTCCACCACTGCTACATTACGTATTTCTGCCGCCAAGTAGTAATGTCAGCATTACTGTATTCCGGTTTTGAAGGGTAAGGGTGCTGGTGAAACTACATGCACACGGGACTTGTCAACTTACGTCTCAGGGTGACGGGCGCAGTGGCAGTGCCCCTTTGATCTTTGTGATTTAAAGCTATGAGTGGCACTGTAATTGTCATGGACACGCGTGTAGTCTTCCATCAGGCGCACGACTTGTTCGCGCCGTCTCTTGATGTAATAAAAAAAGTCGCAATATTGACCTTTTTGAGAGTTACTTGCGCGACTTGTGCGAGAGCGGCATAAAGCGCGAGATCTTTATACGAGAATAGCAGGTTAACCGTCCCCTTGAGTAATTCGTCCATGGTCACAACACAGTACGTGAAAATAATTATTTTTCCTCAGAATTGGAATTTATATTAGATCAGAAATAGTGCATGAAACGTCTAAATCATTGTTTTTGTTTTGTTGTATGTAAACCCCACCTTATTATATTTATTTACATTGTTGTAACATAATAATTCATTATTTTTAACACTTATATTCATGCTGCATTTTTTGTTCGAAAGGATAATGACCCTTGTAGTAATCATCAAAGTGTTTATCTACAAAACACGTTTTGTCATTGTGCGAGTTAATCCAGTTGACACAAGTAATTTATCTATAACTATCAACTTCAAAGTAATTGCGTTGGGGTTATAATTTTTTTAACACTAATTTTATATCGCATTAAAATCGTGGAACCCACTTAAAAAGCGAGCATGTAAAACGGTCCTAACGGAAAGATTTTGAGCTATTGTGTATTATTATATCCAATGGTCAAAAAATTGTGTGTCATATATATTGATACATGTATTAGATATAGCTACAAGAAGCGACATGAGTTGTTAAAACCACCAAATATTACTTAATTACTTTTTCGAATTCCGGGTTGCTGGAAATGGTTTTACTGCGTCGTCCGACAAAACTACTGACCTAGGAAGTTGAAGTTGTATTTTAAAGTAATTCTAATGGTGCCATGTAAAAAAATGTAGCAGATAACTGACCTTTTACCAAAGCAGAGAAAAAAGTAACGACAATAGTTTCTCTCCGCCCCTCCGTATCGCACCCCGCATATTGTCTGACACATTGACGGAACGGCATCAAGGTTGTCAGTGAGCTATTCGCTAAGAATAACACGTTCATGTTCTTACAATAGTCGTGAATTGTGCCATGTACGGTTATTTATCTTCATCTAAATAGAATAAAGAGAGGAGTTTCTTTCGTTAAAAAATACTTTTTATTACGTTTCGAATTTTCGATATAATTTACATTTAGGAAACATCACAATAATCATTATAAATACTATTATCGACTACGATACGAATGGTTTTACTACGGTGCAGTAAATCCGTTTCTGGAAATAAGTTGCGAGCTATTCCAGATATCTACTTAGTGTCATAGTGGTGGCATTGTAGGTCGCGTTGTCAACTTTACATAAAAACATCTAGGAAAAATGTCTTTAGATCCGTAATTTGCGCCCGCTTTCATTATCCCATCGAACAAGAAGCAGAGAATATATCGGAAAAGCATACGGTGGTGGGGTGACGATGTATTGTTAAACTCAGCTGCACGGCGATGTTCGAAAGGTTCACGTCGCGCCACGGGCCTATGCTGAAGGTGCTCGTCATGCACGCACATCTCGTCGCGCATCAAACGTTCGCTATGAAGCTTTTGAACTGGTGAGTCCGTTTTTTTATATGTATTTACGTCTCATAAATAATTTTTATTTTATTTAGTACATTATAAAGGCATTAAATATAATTTTGCTTAACACTCTTTAGTCTAAACTGATTAATCTGAGTGTTGTAACTCCTCTTTGCTATAATTTCGATTATAGTAATATTAGCGAGAGCTTGGAATTGCATTTGTAGTGGTTTTTGTGGTTACAGAAGAAAATGTGGTTGTATTTGTGGATTTTATGCGAACGGCACGCAAATGTAATGCAATTCCGAGCTCTTGCTAATATTTATTAAAAGCATCTTAGATTTATGGAAACACAGGCCGTATAGAAGTTGACAGTAACAAAAGTATAATAATATATCGAGTTCTTAGGCTTTTGCGATTGCTACACATTGGAAATGAAACTATTTTTTGAGATCTAAATTTTAGCTACGTTTTAGGCTTTAATGGGCTTTTTAAACATTACGTTTGAGGTCATTTATCCGATATAGCTGTACCTACTGCTCATGATACTCATGAACAACATGTAATAAGATTCTTTCCAACTTCCAAAGTACACAATTTATTATTGGTATGATTGTATGATGTTAGCTACACTGTAGATTGAAGCTGTTGCCTTGGAGTAGGACGATATAGGTAGACCAAAAAGAATTGAAATTTCTCTCAATTCATGAATCCACTAGTGGCCACTTTGTCTGTGTGGCTACAGATGCTCACTTTTAACCCTTAAACCGACGTTCCAATTTCGTCATAATATTAGAAACTAAAACAATGCAATTATAATCAATAATTACGGATTTGTTATCACGATATAATTTATTTTTATTTTCCCGATATATCGGATCGGTTCACCTAATCCAAACCGTGACTATGGAGCGTGTCAAAGCATACCGTGGCAAGAAACCTATAATAAGTGATAAACATTTAGTAAATAACCACGAAACTCTTGAAAATCTATAAAATAATCCGAATGTTAACCTGAAATTCAGGTTACAAAACTTCGTAAGTCAAGAACCAAGCCTTCGATTAGCCGTGAGTCAAGTGGCTCTCGGTGACGACGCGTGGGGCGCAAGTGGGCCAAGCGGTGGGGTCGCCGGTGGGGTTATGCAGAACGACTTTCGTATGTGGAAAGCTGCCAGGACCGCCTGGCATAGATTGCTCATTGCCACCACTTTGATGGACTACACCACCAAGAAAGCTATGGCAATATTATTCACTAAGAATTATGGTAAGTGAATTATTTACTATTGAGACTATGTAAGTGCAAATTCACTACCTCGTCGAACAGTACTAATTCGACAAAGGTTCTTTTTATTTTAATAATAACGCACACACTCAATATAGCCCCGCGCTAGGGAAACCCTGTGTCGCGGGTGACATGGACACACACATAGACAATCGCAAATTACATCCAAACTCACGAGAGAAATAAATAAAAAATAAATGTAGGACATACAAATATTTCTCCCGGCCCGGGAATCGAACCAGGGACCTCTGCGTGGCAGTCCGGCATGGTAACTGTTTGGCCACGGAGGCAGTTGTATTCGAGGTTTGAATAGAAACTTTGTTTTCCGAAGCACAGTTGCGCATTCGTATAGTTGTTTCAAAAGACAAATCAGTTGGAAGCTTGGACGGAGAAGTTTTCTTAAGCATTCTATATGAATTAACGCCATAATAGGATAATTACTCGTCCACTAACGACTTATTCACAAAAATATACCGAAAATATCAGGCATTAACTTTAATTCAGTTTTATTGCCAAAAACATCTGTAGCACCCATAAATGTAATTGTTAATTTTGATAATTAAATAATATATCAAGCAAAATCAGCGTAATTAACATTTCTCAAAGAAAAAACTTTGGGTGGGGAATATCTCGAAAGTTACCGAACTGCAAATCGTCGCCTTCCTTTCTCAAACTCGTATCTTAAGCATAAAGTTATTGAAATGCAAAAAATGGATTGTATATGCAAATTTTGCAGGCTGATTTCACATCACAATTCCTTCATATTCACACACTGGCTTTTACCTATTCTTAAAGTAATGCAACCAAATTACCAATCTTGATAAGAAATTTAAAATAAATAGACAAGTTTTGCCATCTACTGAATAATCACTCTTTATAAGATACGAGTTTAAGACTGTAAAGCATCGAAATGCATTGTTGGCAAAATTGCATGACGTCATATTTTCATCCGACAAAACAATCACGCGTTTCATATACGAAATAGACTGTCAAAAAGTCTTTGGGCTCATTCAGAGTGCAGGCGCGGGCGCGGCGTTGGGTGCGGGCACGCGGGTCTTGGCCTCTTCCCTTTCACAGTGCCGAAGCGGTTACGAGCTGGTAGATCCACACGTCGAAATCGCAAACAGACGCCAGACGCTAGACCAAGCACTGTGAAAGGGACGGGCGGACCGAACCAATAGTTTTGTGGTGGGCGGAATGGCGCGGCCCGCATGCACCCGCGTCCGCGCCCGTCTCGAGGCAGGCGCCGACGCGCGCGGCCACTGTGAACGCAAGGAGCGTCTACGTACATTTGATTTACACGCACCCGCGCCCGCCGCCACTCTGAATAAGGCCTTTCGTTTTTCAAAATGGAAGTGAAAATATTTTTGAAGTAGCATAATCATATCAAAATTTCTTAAGCCAATGAAAATCGTGTTGTATTAACCAGTGTACCCAGTTATGTTATACATTATTTATATATCCAGGCTCAATTCTGAAAGACTTCATCCGTGACGACCACGACCACTCGTTCTCAATCTCGTCACTCTCCGTGCAGCTGTACACGACGCCGACACTGGCTCATCATCTGATCGCGAAACACGACGCGTTATTCATTGTGGTTAACACTTTCGTTAGTGAATGCAATAGGCGGTGTAACAATCGAGTAAGTATTTTTATATAAATTCAACAACTTTCTGTAAAGTACAACTCTTATTAAGTTTATAGCTGTTTTGTTATTGAGCTTCACGTGCAGAAAGATAGTGATTTTCTTACCATAGCTATATAAATTAAAGACTTTTTGTAAAATATGTCACTTATGTAGTTTTACCTTTAAACAGACGATCTGTTCATCACATTTGGTACATCGTATGAAAGCATATTATAAGATCATAATAATGTAGGGTTATCACCGTGTCTTACCCATATAATTTTTTATCTCCACATTTTAAATGGATGCAATTTTCCTATTTACTATTTGTAAATACTTAACTTAAAAGTACTATGTGAAAGAATGTATATAAATTGGTGAAATTAGAAAAAATCGAAAATTACATAATGCCAGGAGAAATTATACGTGATCCTTACTTAGTCCTCTATAACTTTTTTTTATTTAATTTGATTCAAACAGCCAGTACAATATTAAAAAATATAGAAAAAATAAAACTGCTATAGACAAAGAGTACCGAATATTACAGTAAATTTGTAATAACGTAGGCTAACAAAATTTATAACATAAAAACATTTAACACATTTTTGAACCAAAAGCATTCGCTTTTAACGCGTTAAACTACACATGCTTAAAACCAATTTGTACATAAAAAAAATTAAATAAACCGAGATCTGAACTGGCTTCCCAGGTAGACAAACCCCAATAATTGGACATGTATTATTATTAATTTGTATTTTATTCTCTTGCGAGTCAAATATTTACGTACTAATTGCGAATCAAATAAATACTTAGTATTTTTTATGAGATGTTCAGAGAAGCCTAAGCGCGATCAATAATAAAATAGTCCTTAAATATAATTATCAAAAGTGTCTAGGGATCAAGCACATTTTTGCCAATAACTGAAAGTCAAGTTTTTTTATTATAATTTTTTAACTCCATTGGCTTTTTGGTCAATTACTTCAATATATAAATAAATAATTTAATAAATTTAGAAACATTTTTATTTCATTTTTGTAGGGTAATTTTTGATGTGTGTGTTTATTAGTTCGCTAAGATCAGCCCGATGATTTTGTATAAAACATAAGGCAACAAAAGTGCGTTTAGAAATAAATATAAAAATTATTTCTATTTTAGGGTCGCCTGGAATTTGAGCGCAACCATATAAACATGGCGTTCAAACGCGCGCAATTCATTCTATACGACGTGAAGTATCTCCTCGGTTCCGTGCCAACAACATTCGACGACGAGCTGCGTAAAGGGTTCCTTCACGGATTATCCCTGATGCTCAATCTGCTTGTTATGATGCAGGGAATGGACTCTGTAATAAGACAAGTAAGGTTTTAATTAATTAACTATCTATTACTCCAAACAGTACAAGTTTAAAGTGACCCGCTTGTGGTACTTGATTTTGGCCCACTTATTCTGTTAAGGCCTAAAATTTGCTTGGCGGAAGTTATCCGTGCCAAACAAATGGAGGAGGTTTTATTTGTTTAGCACATTAGACATGAAATGATTCCATCCAGCTATTATAATTTTATTTCCAAAAATAAGGTATTTCATTTGAAAAAAGGAATAAATTTATTTACCCTTTATAAGTAAAAAAATTCTCGTAATGAAATTACTAGTGATAAAACAGACCTCTGCTTCTGCTTCCGCAACTTTAATAGCGGAACATTTATCGGAAGTTTACAACGTTGGAGATAGATCAGGAATTAGCGCGATTTGCTTGGCGGCAGGGCACGCGTTTTTAAACAGTTTTATATAGTGTTAAGTGTGAGATTGTATAATATTTACACTTCCGCTTCCGCATCATCTTCCGCCTCCGTTTTGTTTCCGTTTCCGTTACGACACTTCCGTTGCATCACTACAAATTACAAAAAACTGACTGGGGCCTGCAGCGTTTTGGTTTGACGCAATAGTGTTGTTCGTTTTTTAATTTCAGCCATGCTCAACAGATGCCGCTCGTTTAACTTTAAAAATTGGCATTGCAATTTATAAATTTCGTGAAATATTTTGGGGCGCCATATGTTGGTACAATATTGCACTATGTAATTGAGACTTGTAACCATTTAGTGACATATCAAATTGCATTTTCCTTTATTATTTAATGTTTCAGGTTGGTCAACACATGGAATACGAGCCTGAATGGGAGTCTGCGTTCAATCTCCACGTAAAATTAGCTCACAGCATCACTTTGTCATTGGAGTGGTGCGCGTCAGAGCGTGCTCTGATTGCGTCCGCTTACCGCATGGCGCTGCGCAGGCACAGTGACATCTACACTAATCAACCGAGGGTCGTTAGAGGTGATTCTTATTGAGCTATATCTCGAGCTTTTATGACTTGCCTGCCCTTCAATCACTCTGAACACCTTTTCTTAAACTAGGTAATTTGCTGTGGAGTTTATATCAGAATATGGCTCCCAACCATTACCCCGAACATCTAGATGGAAATCGATTTTGGAAAGTTCGTATCCTTAATCTACCCAAAATGCTAGGACGTCCAAACCCCAGAGGTATTCATTTTCAACACAACTGCTATACCAGCATGTGTTAGAGGATTGTTATTAGTTTGTTAGTACATGCAAAATAACAAAAACAGGAATTATAATTAAAAATAGGAATTATAATTATAAATAAAAAAAGAAAATTATACTACAAATTTTCTAGTATGATCCCTGTGACACTTCATTTGATGTTTTCACAGGGATGAGGTAAAGTCGATAGATTTTTGAAGCAAAGGTTCTCTCTTATACAGCCTTGCATAATATTACGGATTTAAAAAAACATAACAATTGAGTTTTTAAAATAAAGAACTCCCGTGAATTGTGTATGAATAATATTTATTTTATTTCTGATATCCGATCCGTTATTTCTATGGAATAGGTAGGTACAGGTACCGGAGAAGAAATAAATTAAATGTAAACGCAGTCTTTGTTTATGATACAATAACAATCAGCAACCAAATTAGCGTGATTTACAGGGACTCTACTGTCATCAGTCCGTAGACAACATAAATTAATGCTTTCTGTACAAAAATGAAAGTCGTAGCCATTGAAATAACAAATTAATAACGTTAAGTCCGTCTTCTGTGAAATTTGGTTTGGTGCAGATACGTGCCTTTTACCAATACTACAGACGTGAATTTGCACTATCCACGACGTTATATATTTATTCAATAAATTATCGACAATTTTTTATCGTTATACCTCATCTCTAGCAAACGCAGTCTAACGAAGTAACCTTTGTACGTTGTCGTAATTTAAATTCATTTTTGAAAAAAATAATTCTCTGGGCATTTGTCACTAATTTGGTGTTACTTTTACTTTAATTTTATGTATTTGCTTAAACAAAAGATATTCACTTAAAAGCGAGACTTATAAAAACACGCATTTTATATACGTAAATTAGTAGACTTCGTTACAAGGTTATATTATGGAGAATTTTGTGAAGTGTCACAGGGATCGTCCTAGAAAATTTGTAGTATAACTCATTTTAAGAAAGAAAGGACATCGTTCAATGAGCGCTAAAATGGTCGGTACTTTGAATGTATTAAAAATATTCCGATTTTTTTGAATCTTAAATTTATTTTAAAATAAATTATCGTATATCATCGAGTATATACCAGAAATAGAGACGAATTAAGGGCCATCCATCCCTGGCAACTCATCAGGCAAATGGGCCTTATATCACTTTTAAATATCAACACTCGTTTGCGCTGAAATCGCAAATTAGAAAACTGAAAAATAATATCTCGAACAATGGGGGCTGTTGCATTCGGCCGGAATCACATTTCATCGGTAATTAAATATGTTTAATTTTTCAATTTTCGTCCATTATAGCAAGGCTCAAGTTAAACTGGTCGATTTGAAGTGGAACAATTGACGACACCCGTCAATTGTTTCGAATTCGGGCTGGCCAATCGGAGCGCAGTTGTCACAGTGATGCTTTGGCAGAATAGTTTTCAAACAAATTAAATGACATTTCGTCTCTATTTCTGGGTTATATACTCGGATGTCGTATAGCTTCAACTCATATATTTTTAAACAGATCCACAAAATTATGTCCATAGGCTATCTAAATAATCGGCATTACGCCGACTAATTAATACGTTTGGACCCTTCTTGTGGAAGATAGATAGACTCGCGTCCTGATGCGTAAATGCGAATTCTTGGTATGCTATGCTACAGCAGAATGTTTTACTTTTCACAGAATTGGGCAACCAAAGCGCCTCAGTGATCCCCTACGACGTTTCCGTCGAGCCAGTGTCCATACATCGGCCTCTGTCGCGATACATCGCCGGTTTACACTTACATCTGCACCAACATGGTTTATCGTACCACAGCAGAGAGTTTGACAGGCCTGATAAACCGAAACCTTCTCCTGAAGAGCTTATAGGTAAATCCATTGTGGTCTATTTCATGAGTGAACTGTTTATCAAAAACTAATCCCCTTAGTTCAAAAGCATTATCGTTTAAAATAGAGTTCTTTCTTTCTTCTTTGTGTTCCCTCGCACCTATAGCCAGGTTTAAGTGGCGTGATTATTTGTTTTTTGCAGAACCAGTGCTTCAGACAATGGCGATGATCGCGCAAGTGCATGCGGGCATGTGGCGCCGCAACGGGTTCGCCTTACTCAATCAGCTTTACTTCTATCACAACGTCAAGTGCCGTGCCGAGATGCTGGATCGTGATATTGTCATGCTGCAGGTAACAAACTAAACTACCTTACCATATCGGCGTGAAGAGGCCTTCTTGGACTCGACATTAAAAAATGTCTCTTCTGTTTTGAACTCTCGTCACTCCAATCATACCTGTTATATCCCGCTTGGGTCCACTATTCTCTCCCAAGTTTTCACCATGACCGAATCTGGCGCCTTCAATTCGCCAATGACATTGGGCAGAAAATTAGGTGAATGATTTTTTATTTATATTGTATTTTTTATATATTCAGATTGGCGCATCACTAATTGAAAGCAATGAGTTTATAATTCACGTACTGAACAAGTTCAACTTACTGCATTGGGCGGATGAAGACTTCGAGCAACGAAGAACCTTCGAAGATGACACTCTGCGGCACACCATTAGCATGGTTGAGGAATTCTTAGGGCTGCTTATTACTGGTAAGTTTTGTATTCATATTGTGAACTTTTGTATTCATGTTGTGCTATGCATATGATTGCATCTCTCTCCTCTCTGGGCAGAGAACCTTAGATATTTGTTTCGGATATTATTTACTTATTATTTTACAGTGGTGGGTTCACGCTACGTACCAGGAGTGGGGGAAGTAACAAAAGAAGATCAGACCAAGAAAGAAATAATTCAAATGCTCTGCGTCAAGCCTCTGCCTCATTCTGAACTCAATAGGTAAGATATTTTGATAATTAAATTGAGAAAAAAACAATAAACGAAACTTATAAATTTCAGAGCTCACTAATTTCACATTACTATGTATGCATAATATAAAAACAAGTACAGGTGAAATTTCACGGGCGGTATTGGACTAGCGCCAGATACTCTATAGCACTTATATCCGATTTGCACAAATACATATTATGTACTTCTGTTTTGTAAAATGTGTGATATATCGAAAGATAAACGCCAACAGGAAAGTGATAAAATATCCCTTTCAGATCGCTACCCGAAGATCAATCCCACGAAACAGGTCTAGAGGGAGTTATTCACGAAGTAGCAGACTTTATCAAACCTACTGGGGGCAACAACAGAGGCGTTTACAAACTGAAACCACATCTATACGATGAATATGATACGTTCTTCTATCACTACACTCGCGAGGATTTGTCGAGGAGTGAGGAGGAACAGAGAAATAGGAGAAAAGCAGCTGGTGAGTTAAAGGGGTGAAAATATGTACCTAATTAGATCGAAGTAATATTTGAAAACGACTAGGATACTTCCTAATCGTTTTTAAATATTGTACTGGAATAGGCATAACGATATGTGTGTTTATAAATTAACCTTAATGTTTCCATTATTCTATTTCAAACAATTGATTATTTATTGGTGTTTAAGTAATGCTTAAAATTAGCATAGCTGATAAGTAAGTAAATGATAATAATAACGCACACACTCAACATAGCCCCGCTCTAGGGAAACCCTGTGTCGCGGGTGCCTTGGATACAAACATAGACAACTTACACCCAGATTCACGAGAGAAATAAATGTAGGCCTTACAATTATTTCTCCCGACCCGGGAATCGAGCCTGGGACCTCTGCGTGGCAGTCCGACATGTTAACCGTTCGGCCACGGAGGCAGTTAAATAGATAGACCTTTGAATAGATAAATTTATTCCTTGGCGGAAATAACTACCAGCCTCTTATATTTCAAAAATGTATATTTAAAAAAACTGGCTTCTTATATTTCATATTAAAGAGAAATTAATCCACGGCCATTTTTTTATAACGCCGAGTAACGGGACGACCAAGTTGTGCGCCTGATCGTAAGCGACACGCCTATCCATAACAGTTGAAATGGCACTCAGAGCTTTAAATCGCAAAGATAGATACATAGCATAGTAACCGTTCGGCCATGGAGTCAGAAAATATTTGGCTATTGTAATAGGCATCTTAATTAATTCTTTAGGATTCTCCTATGGCGTTTGATTATGTTGATAACGTATAAATCATAATTTATTAAATTAGCAATTTGTAATTAATTCAATATTAAGCTTATTTGGTTTGAAGAACTATGCCCTATATGCAAGAATTAGTCAAATTAAACTATTAAACCAACAGTAATTTACAGGTGTTCATCAAGGATCAGCTTAGGCCCTTTACTCTTCTACTTATATTGATGACGTTATTATTTGCAGGGCTTCCTGAGTGCTGCCCGCCACCGGCGTTACCGAAACTAACGCCTCCTTTCCGACTATTAGCAAGCCTACTTCAATGTGACGCGGCACTGCACGTACTACGCATAGTACTCGAACGTGCGTTAGACTTGCGTGCCAGGTCATTCTCCGAGACGCAAGTACACAAGGTAAATGTTTACCTTTGTTGTCGTATATGTATACGACAACACTTTTGCTTGTAATGGTTCAAGTACAACACGATAGAATAATAGTTCTCTGGGGTTTCAGTAAAAAAGTTGTTGTTGGACATAATTATTCTTTGCTGGGATCGAGTTGACTCTGTTACTAAACAGGACCACTATACTGTAGCAGTAATTAACTGGTATTAATAACAGTATGATCCATTCTGTACTTTTTTTTTGTAAGAAATAGGATTGGAAATTAGACGCTTTTAGATGCGCTGCAGTGACACGATTGTGGCGCGGCAGCGGTGCATCTATATTGCTGCAGTAATTTTTAGTTAAAAAAATTGGTAGTCACGATCATGATTATTTTTTTATTATTTTTCTGAATATATTGTCGTTAGGCTCTCCACTTAATTGGGTATGCCCTTCGTGACGAGGAGAGCGGCCACTACGAGTTTCTTGCTTTCGCGGAAAGCGCGGCGCGCTGCGGACTTCTAACCCTGCTGCAAAAACAGGTCAACAACATTCGAGTTGACGCCCATAGACCGCTTACTAAGTGGTTGCTTAATAAGATGAAGTGAGTACATGTTCTGTCCAGGCCTTTCACTAACATCGAGTTGCAGAAACATTAAAAATTTGTATTTTTTGTAATTGGTGAAATCAAATTTTGAGGTGGTGTGTTATAATGGAGGATTAAACTCTATTTGTGGGACTATGCGCTTTTTCCAATATATTATTGTATGTTACCTTGACCGCCATTATTCAACATTATCTGAAAAAACAATATTAAATCCTCAAATCGATTAATTTAATTGTTATTTGAAAATAATTTCACTGTGCTTGCTATTTGCCAGAAAAAGAAACTTTCAATGGTAGAAAAAAGTACCTTATTCCCAATACAATGGATTTATTATTAATTCCTCCGAGAAACTCGAATCCGAAGTTAATATCGTTATTCCGGTAACTCATAGTCGTTTATACGTTTCTAGTGTAAGTTGACACACGGCGCCCTCAGTAATCGTAGCTAAATTAGATTTGCAATATTTTTTACACTCGTAGCGTGTAACGTCGTGTGGACGACTAAATAGTTTACTGAATTGTTCTTTTTGTACAGGACTTTATTAGGACAGAACGACGAACAAGGTGGCGAAGGAGACAGTATGGAGACTGACCAAGAACAAAAGCCTACTGGCGGCGAAATTGCGGGTAAATCTTCAACGATATTATCCATCTTGTTATTATTATTTATTTTGTACAGGGCTATTTGTAAAATACTAACAACCTTGTAGGACTGCATTACTAATATCATAAACAACAATTTTATATTCAAATATATCGCTCTAAATGGTGATAACTCTATGCGATAGTAAAAGAAAGCACTCGCTACTAAAATTATTTTTATGAATGACAGCACGTTAGAGGCGTTGCTAAAAATACAGAATTAAAAGAGGTCGGACAACAAAAACTAAAAAGTTGTTTTTGATAAGTTTATTATGGTTTGTAAACAGTCATGAAACCAAAACTGTTGTTTATGATGATAGTATTGTAGTCCAGAGAGGTATTAGGATAGTATTTTTCAAATAATCCCGTATTATTATTGACAATCTCGGTGATCTAACGGTTTACGTCGTGGGCGTTGGATGCTGTGGTCCCGGGTTCGATTCCCTGTAGATTGAGGTCCCGCCACAATTTAAATTTTAATTGATTTAATGCGAGGGTACCAACTCTACATCTGTTGACCTTCATGAAGGTGGAGTTTTAGCCGGTGTCATGTATCCGAAGTCGGTTACCGGACACCCACGTTGCGTCACATGTAGTCCATGCGTGTAAATGAATAAATGTTTTATTATATTATTGTAGTGTAATGGCCCTGCTGGTGCTGGTGGCGTTCTGTAGACTGTAAAATAGCCTGGATAGCAGTAATATAGCCTGGTCTAAGGGTAGTAATAGCCTCCGCCCCAGCCGCAGCAGCCCCCGCAGCCTCCATACGTCTTACTTAGCAAGTTTTAGCAGTTGAAAAGACGAAAGTCCGGTTTATAGGAATTCATTCAGTACAACAACAATATTAATATATTAAAATGTAAATGGTTCAAAAATAAGAAAGTAGAGAGTGACGATGGAAAGAAACAAAATCAGAAAGCGAAGGAAGATGGAACAATTCAAATTTAAAATTTAAATACAAGCAAAAGAAAAAGTGATAAGATACAAAAAGGTGAAATGACGGTGTAAGGAGGTCACACCGTCACAATAGTATGTATTTATAGGTCAATGTAACCTGAATATAAATAAAAAATAAATAAATAAAAATAAAAATACAAGTCGTGTTGCCTACACAACTACTTACACTTTTTTTATAATATACTTTTAATTGATTGCAGATGCCGAAAAAGAGCGTCGTGCGAAGTTAGCTGCAGAGCGGCGAGCGAAGCTCATGGCGCAAATGAAGGCGCAAATGAACAACTTCATTTCAAAGAATGCTACGCTGTTCGAGGAGACTAACACTGAGGTACAGAATATCGCTGTTACACTGGGAAAGACAATTATTTCATAAAATATCGACTTTAAAATAAATGCAATTAAATTTTCAACGACGAATATTTATTATCACACGTTAATTTGTAACAGACGATTCCACATTTTATGTTTTACCGAAATTTGAAAATGTTTGCCTTTTACATAAGCAATTTTGTCGCGTTATCCTACATTAAATAATTTTCTGTGAAAATTCCAAGCAGGTAATTGATTTTCGCAGTATAACGACGATATTCATTAGAAGTCTTCATCTTATCGTATCAATGGTATACACTATGAAGCGTAAAACACAGAGAACGGGCGCGTGACGGCTCGGGAGCACGGCGGGTGTAATTCCGTGTATTTATGTATATGGACGACAACACACCATGCATGCGGGCGCGGGACCCGACCTGCACCCGTACCGCGCCCGCTCGTAGTATGTTGTCGCCCGACCCGCACCCGTTTTCTGTGTGTTTCACGCTTAACACTTTAACAAAATTAAATAGCAATTACACGATCCCTGAAAATCTGTTTATTACTTGTAATTGTGTTGCAATCTAAATGTAGATTGCAACAAGACGAGCATCGACATCTGATCTGTCAATATATTTTTATGGCATTGGCCACTAGCACATTAGCCAAAAAATTACATAAAAAAAACCCGTTCCGTTCCGCGGGATTCCGCTCCATTTTCCGTTACATATTATTATTAAAAATCCTTAACGATATTTTTAGGTATTGCTAGGCGAGTTATTTATTGTCCAATTCATCGTTATCACAGGTAACGGAAGAAGAGCAAGAAATAAGGACGTTGTACTCCGGGGCCGCACTTGGCGTGTGGGGCGGCGGCGTTCCCGAACCTACACGAGTCTGTATTATGTGTCAGGAAGAGGTACGTTTTCGTATATGTATTATATTTTTATTTCCTTATTTATGATGTCAGTAAACAGTTTTATAAGATGAAATTCACGGCTGTTGTCACCACTGTAGCCGGCTAGCCAGGTTATTGGATATAGACTAGATTGTAAAACCTACCTAAACTAAATTATTTTCAACGTAAACATTGAGTTTATATTTATATAAATAAGAATTAGACATAAAGTAGCATTTGAACTAATATCTTTTAACATCGATTTGTTATAGCTTTACCTAGATTTTGTTAAAGAAAAATAAATTATTTGTGTTTCAGATGTATTTTTTAGATTATGACAAAGCAGAAATAGCTGAAATTTATTTCTATAGTCGTCACCAAATAAGAGGCCAAATTTTACAGCTAAAGAAGGCGATAGTATGTAACTTTGAATGCGATCAACGAAACAATAAACAAACAATTATTAGCATAATTGAGTTTAAAAAAACACATAAATTTTATTGAAACATTATATAATACGAGACCTGTACCTCACCTACGGTGGGGTTGGGCTCGGCCTGCGGCGCGTGGTCGGGTTCAGTTTACGGGGTGTGCTCATGCTCTTCGGTGGCACAACAGTTAGTACTATAGGCGCGTGATGAGGAGGTCGATTCCCGATTTGGGCCAATTTAAGAAACGAACATTTCTAAATTGGTTTTGGTCTGAGTATCCTGGATTGTCGGCGTTTTGGTATTCATAGTACAGAAAATTCGGCAGTAGTTTGGCATTTTTTTCCCCTAAATACGTTTGTCGCCACTTTGTAGTTTATTGGATTTAGACTAGACTGTAATACCTTTGTACCTGGTTCAAACATTCAATGTAGATATTGAGGGACGACAAAAGATACTTAATTTATAGGTATGCATATAAGCAGGTAGAAAGATACTGAACCATGTTTAAAACGTTCTTAACACTACATTGTGCTATGACGAGGAACCGTAGAGGTGTGCCTCGTATGTCGCGTACAAACCCTCAGCACATCTCACGTATATGGGGCGGGACACATTGAGAGGTGACCCGAGTGGACCTCCAACTTTAATCCAACCTCTGCCCAACATGTTTCAAGCTTCGATAGCTATTAATCGCGGTGCAAGCGTACATGCCAGCTACTACCGACCCGATTGATGCCAACGATAGGCACCCACAGTCATAAGCGTCAATGAGGCTAGTCTACTTCGGGTAGAGTCAGCACGTGGCAAATTGATAGTCATAGAACATGTTTCATAACAATATTAAACTCGACAATTAACTTAGTTGTGTGTCTTTCCACCGTGTCTATGCATGGTGTAATGTTAAACAGTACATATAGGAACTTACCAGTTGTTTGTCTCTTAGGGTACATTCACTTACACAGCCATATCTTTACTTTTAACCAAACTGAAGTGCACTCGGTTCCCGCCATTGCCGTTGACGTTACTGCCGTCTCGATAGTGTCAAAACAAAAAGTTAGCAAAGGCAAAGCAGTGTTACCACAATACAAAAAATGGGTGAAGTTCGTTTACTCACCAAATGATTGATTATCGCGTGATTCGCGACAACTTCTCTTTGGCATAGCTTTCAAGAAAATGGAATCTAACAGATATGGTTGAAATACAACAACGCTATGATAAGTATCTCATTTCCACTACATCGGGAAGTATGCCTTACATTTTTACAATTGTGAGATCTTGTTACTCGTAATCTATTACGCCTCCGTATATAATTACCTCCATACGAAAGCGTGCGGACGCTTCGGGCTTCGCCCTCCGCGGGCCTCGGCCTGCGGCCTCGGCACTTAGGACATTGAATAAAAAAAATTGAAATAGGTCGATTCCCGATTTATCCCATTTTAAGAAACGAATATTTCTAAGTTGGTTTTGGTCTGAGTATTCTGGGTTATCGTTAATTTGGTATTCAGAACATACTTATTTATTATGTATAATAGCTAAATTCTCGTAATAAACCATTTATGAATATTATAAAATCTAAATTAAAAGACTTGGATACAATTCATCGAAATGTGGGACAATTTTACGAAAATAAGAGGAATTGCTACAGAATTGTTTGGAATTCTGTAAATGAACTGCTTTTAGCAGAATTGCACGATTTGGCCTTTTAGGCCCCCAGGACAACGATGAACCAATTATAAATGAACCAAAATAATCTAAACAATCACAAACTCTTAAAAATTTGAATCGATTTCTCGATTACCGATATGATTAGTTCACATCCCTATTCGCGTCACAATGACAAGTGTCAAATTTGGTCTTTTATTTGGTGAGACTATAATCACAATGGCAATAATGTTAAGATAGATCTATGAAAGTTTACGTACAATGTGTTAGGTCATTGTGAGAGTGGAACCTGTATTAGGATACCCTCATCATCAACCTATATATACGTTCTACTGCTGGGCACGGGTCTCATCTCAGGTGAAGATTTAGGCCATGGTCCGCCACTGTGGATAGGGAATTCACTCATATCGAGAGGGTTATGAACCTTCTTCTTCTAGTTTTCATCACGACGTTTTCCTTCACCAAAGAGCTCATAATAAATTTCAAATTAAATTTCGCACATAAATCCGAAAGGCGGTAGGTCAAACCATTAGGCCACCACGGCTTTACCTATTAATAGATATGATAGACACTTAGGGTCGTATTCTAGAACTCTACTCAATGCTCAAGTCAGGACTTGAGTATGATTCAAAGCACTAGAAATCATACTCAAGTCCTTGCCATTAGAGTCGTATTTCCAGTGCTTGAAATCATACTCAAGTCTGCTCAAATCCTGACCTGAGCATTGAGTAGAGTTCTGGAATACGATCCTTAGACGTTATCAATTAGTAGATATTAAATTTTTATTGAATTGATATTCAATTATTTTTTGTGAAATTACTCCACTAGGTTGTTAAATTATTTTTTGTTATTAATACAAAGATCGAACACTTAGAAAAAATTCGTTTGATCCGGCCGGATTCAAACCGACGTCTCCTAGCAAATCGTGCCAGACGCTATGCCAACTAAGCCACGGAACGAACCAGCGGACCTCACGAATTTTTCTATGTGCTTGTTGACGGATCTTTGTATTTGGCTTTCAACGACTTTTTAGTCGTAGCGCCATCTATGGAATCTATTAATAGATAGGTAGATGACGACAATGCATTATTTTACTAGTGTTCCGCTAAATAGAGCCGGTGTGTGTATAGTCTGTTTTTATGAAGACGGAGCAAAATGACAGTTCATTGCGCAAGTTGCCCGTTTGCGAGCAGCCAGTGAGAAATATTATATCGACTATCGACTATCGACTGAACATTCTGCCCTCGTAACGAAAAAAGGCACAACTATGCGTACTTTATACAGCAGTTATGCCTTTTTTCGTTCTGAGCAGTATTGGTTACGTATAAGAAATGAATAGCCGAACTTATTTGAATTATCTCGAACCATCCAATGACTGAGCACAAATTAATTTAAATCTTAAATTTTTGTTAAGTTCATTCATAGCACAGTGTATTTAGAACTATGTTTATGAAAAATATAAAAGACAGAGGAGACATTTTAAAGTTTTTCATTTCAATTTAATACAGATAATCAAATCCGGCTATTCTTGTTAAAATGTGTATGAATAAAAATTGCTCTCGGTGCTAGTAGGCCAACTGTCAAAATAAGAATAAAGAAGGCAATAACAGCGCAGCGGTCAGCCGGCGCACTGCGCGTACAATATAATAACGCGTTCAGAATGCTGCTGGGTCCGCCACGGTTCTGCAGTGCTTTCGGTATATTCGCGGAGACGGCAACGGATGGTTTCCATGCGATCCTGCGCAAGCGTACTGCGTCGCTGTTGAGCCGCCTGCGTAGATCATCTAACAGCATCCTGAACGTTTTTACTGACCGGTGGTACTCTCCGCTGCTACACCAGTGGATGTGCTTGCATGCGGACAAGCACATAGGTGGATAGTGGTAACGGTTCAGACCCGTGACTCTTAAATTTTCAATAATATGTAATTTTAATTTAATTTAATGTATTGTATTTTATAATGTTTTTATTTTATTTCATTTCATTTTTATGACTCGTGTACTGCACTATGCTGTAATATTGGCGAAATAAAATATTTTAAATAAATAATTTGAATTTGAATAACGCAATTAGTAATCACTATTTAAAATTTTATGGAACTGGCAACCCTACAAATGTCATTTTGCTCAGGCTTCAAAAAAGATAGACTATAGTTTCTACGTGAAGAACAAGTTACAATGGCGACGTTGACTACTCACTCGGTCCTCAGGCGAAAGTGGAGATTAAGGCGGAGCCGCTGGTGCTGGTGGCGTTCGCGCAGCATTCGACGGTGCTGAACCGAGCGCGCGTGGGCGGCTGCGGGCGCGTGCCGGCCGAGTGGCGCGGCGCGCACCTGCCGGCCGGCCGCGGCGCGCAGCCGCACGTCTCCTCCTGCGGACACGCGCTGCACGCGCGCTGCTGGCGCAAGTACGTCGACAGCGTGATGGACAAGGAGAACCGCAGGTATCGGCAGGCGCATTTTTAACCGACTTAAAAAAAGGGGGTTCTCAATTCGACTTATATATTTTTTATTGTATGCATGTTACGCTAGTACCTCTGCATGGCAGTTCGGCATGGTAATCTTTATGCCATAGAGGATGTTACTGGCAGGCAGACATGTACTGAGATTATTATGATAGCGAGTGACGAAAATATAGAATAGATATAACAAAAACGAACTTCGATGTACTTTCGTTTCTTTGGCCGCCTTTTAAACCATAAACGTAAATTAAGTCCGTTCCGCCCGTTTTTAATTTTCGCAATGAAAGATGATGCTAGTGAGCAGCTGGCTGTATGAAATTTTTCCTTTAGTTTGTTTATTGGCTGAGATCCATCGGGAAGCTATAGTACTCCGTATTATCGAGGATAGATTACAGCTTGTTTATTATTAAATGTTTTGAAATTTTGAATACGTGGTGTTATATGCGCGTTGTTTAATGATAATACGTGGAAAATTTTAGGCAAGCCGGATTGAAAAGAGTCATATGAACGCCTCGCGTCGTAGTACTCTGCAATACTGCGTTATTATATAAAGGCAGTGACATATTTACATATACTATTAAATTACCCCACTTGACCTTGTGCATAGTAGATAGCGCCATATTGCCTCTACAATGACATCTCTAGTTCCTGCAAATAAAAGAAAAGGCTTTAGGAAACTAACGACATTAAATTTATCATTAATGTAGATTTACATATTTTTTGTATTGCCTGTATTTTTATTAAACAAAATCTAAGCAACTCTAATATTTAGTCTCAGATATACTAAAAACACAAGGAATAAAATAAAAATATGGCGACCAAGCAAGCCTTAATTAGGAATTTTACAGTAACACAAAGTTTGTATTAGCACTCAAATTACTTAGTAAATTAGTATAAAGTTACTCAATACTATTAGAAATAGTTACAATATTATTTACTTGATAATATAAAATGTTAAATTTAACTAACGTATGTTATATCTTTAACTTCGGTTTTTTTTATTAAAATCTAATTATTATTTATGCTATTGTATGAAGTTAACTCTAAATAAATGCTACATCAAAAGTAAAATTTACGATCTAATAATTGGATACTGTAATGTATTACATATTCATTTTGCTACATTTTTCAGCGAATAAATACTTTCATTCAAATAGTGACCCCCTGCTTGTACTTCACAGACCATATCGCCTCCGGCAACCGGCAGCTTTCGATGTAGAAAAGAAAGAATATCTCTGTCCACTGTGCGAACGACTTTGCAATACAGCGTTACCCCTCCTCCCGGGACCGTCTTTACCAACAGGCGTCCCCCCGCCCCTTACCGAAGACACGTTTGATGAATCCGTCAATTTAATACTCAAGTTGAAACACCAAGTATGTTCGGAACAAGTACATATTTGTACTGAGTACTGCGAAGAATTGCTCTGCCAAGCAAGAGCAAGAAGTGTTGGTGCGATGTCATCGGACATGGAAGACGAGTCGGCTGACGAGTGCGAAGTCTACGTCTCTACGCATTCGGAGAATTTGTTGACTCCCGATTTCTTGGCTCATTTTGAAGGAGAAATTCCGAGTTTTAATGATACTACTAAATCACTTATTGAGGACTTTGCTTCGGTGAGTTCAAGATATTTTATGCTGTCTTATTTTAGGCTATAGACTATCTGAAATTACAAACGTTAAATTACGCCAAAATTTATTTTATCGCGTCAAGTGAAAATATATAATTTTATTGTTCAGAATTTTAACTCACCATTGAAATTGCTCACTCTCGATTTCGTCCACGTAATTACTGTAGCTCTATACCTCTGTTGTTTGCACATCATTCAAATCAGACAAACTTTTATTTGTAAATTTGGAATCATGGACTCTGGTACTAGCTCAAAATGGGGCAACACAAGGTATAGGTAATAAATTAGCTAATTTATTTAATTTACAGATTCTCCCCTGCATTTGTGGACTCTCCGAATCAGGCGGCATGATCTCCGTAGCCGCTTTATATCGAGCCACATCCTACACAATAATAAGTACAAACACTGTTCTCCAAGCAGAAAAACGTCCCATACTCGGCGACCATCTCCCTGCCCGACATAGAGACGCCTTACAAGCCTTAATACGCCTCGCTGCCGCTGTTCCTTCAATATGGTCCACACCAAAGCACTTATCGCACCACGCTTTGTCCACTTTAAACGTCTTAGAGAACACCACGCCTTTAAGCCATGATGCTTTCGGTACTGTGGTTACGTTAGTGCTGACAGCGCCATCTCTATTCTGCAAAGTGGCCGGCCCCGCAAGACCTAACCATCTGGCAAGACAAATGACCCTGCAGAGTTTCAGAGCCGATATAGTACGAGCTCTTATTGTCACTGATGTATCGAATTGTAAATCTGAAGCAATGGAGGAGGAAGACTTGAAACCGAGACCTGATTTAGAAAATCTTTTACCTTTTATGAAAGAATTACGCAAAGGGAATTTGGATATAGAAGGGTTGAACCCTAGTGAAGTGTGGGACAGGGTGAAGAAACAATGCCACAGTTTCTTGAGATGCTGTTGTCTCTTCTTTCACTTTTTGAGTGATATTATTCCGCCCACAGAATTGACTGTTGTCGATGGTGACACATGGGAAGTCATGTGTGGGTATCTCAACTTACCATGCACGTTTAAAGAGTTGATAGATACACCAAACGTGAGGAAGAAAGCTCTGGAATGGTCCAATATGTCGACAGAATATTTTAACGGTGATATGCTCCCGCATGTGGTCACGGAACCTGATGAACCGCCAAAGTTAATGCCTCTGCCGGATGATTTTTCGGAACTCATGAATGTGGTTTCGGAATTTTCGTGTCCGAATTCGGAAAGGGAGGACAGTAAATACCCGACAATGTGCTTAGTGTGTGGACAGATATTGTGTTCGCAGAGTTATTGTTGTCAAACTGAGATACGAAAGGTAAGTCTTTTGATAATTGTTTCTGTTGTGTTTTCATGTTTCAAATATCCAGCTTAAAAGTAGTGACTATCAGTATGCAAGATATAACAGTTTATTGCAAGATATAACTATAAATAAATTAATATTAAGTATGACTTATCATGATGAATACCTTAGTCTACAAAATTAGAGTGGCAGACTATTTCCCTTTCCGGTGCGATATTTTGCCCATCTTATAATTTCGCATCATCGCGGAAGTCCGCAAGACACCGGCGCTATATTTTCTTCTCATTAATAATAATAATACACACACTCAACATAGCCCCTCACTAGGGAAATCCTGTGTCGCGAGTGTTATGGACACACACATAGACAACCACAAATTACACCCAAACTCACGAGAGAAATAAATATAGGCCATACAAATATTTCTCCCTGCTCGGGAATCGTACCTGGGACCTCAGCGTGGCAGTCATGATAACTGTTCGGCCACGGAGCCAGTTTCTGTTCCGACACAAAAACATTTATCTGTTAAAAATGTATTTTTGTTATTTTCAATTCAGGTTGATCAATCTTTTATCGGCCTGGAACCGGTCGCATGACGGAGGAGATCACAAATAGATCAAACTGTGTGTGTGCTTGCAGAGTGGGCGTGGGGGTGGCACGGAGCACGTAGGCGCGGTGGTGGCACACGCCATCCAGTGCGGCGCGGGCACCGGCGTCTTTATGCGCGTGCGCGACTGCGAGCTGCTGCTGCTGGCCGCGCCCGCCAGAGGCGCCATGCTGCCCGCTCCCTACCTCGACAGCTACGGGGAGACCGATCAGGTGAAGCTATACACCGTCCTTTCAGATTATTCTGTCTGTGCATAGAACAATACGATGCTGGTTTTATAAACCCCGTTAATCAAAATGTATGTATGGAATGTCATTTATTCCTTTGCAGTGGACTAATGGATAACAGAAATCCACAGTCTTGTGACTCATACTTGTTCACTCTTCTCAGGGTAGTCTGCCTTACGTAGAGTTAATAAATAAGTATAATAAATATCTTTCTTTATTTACCTGTACAATACAAAACAACATTGCTTTCTCTGACTCATTTTCAATTGCTTCACAAGAACAAATCGTTTTCGTTTTAGTCATATATGTATCATACTTGTGGGCACAGGTTATCGAGGGCGACAATGACGAACGTGTTCTTTCCACAGGGTCTCCGTCGTGGCAACCCACTACACCTCTGTCCTGAAAGATACGAGAATCTTCGCATGTTGTGGTTATCACACGGTTTGCATGAACGTATCGCACGCGCTCTTGATACGAACATGCTTGTCAACACGCAGTGGCAGAACATGTGAAATGATAAATTACATTCGACATTTGCAACGTCATGAAAGAGATGTATAAAACCGTGCAACTGTTGTACAATGTCTTGTAAAAGTTGCACAAAGCCTTGTAAAAGTTGTACGACGTCTTACAAAGCGTATGCAAAATACTGTAAAAGTATAGAAGTGTGTTGCAAAAATTATGCTATGTCGTGCAATCATTCAAAATAGTCCAAATAACAGAAATAGATTAGATAGACATTGTCTTTTAACCAGATTTAAAAAACTGGTTTTTATGTTGCAATCTTAAAAATAAATTAATTACATTCGTACATTTGCAAGTGCGGCTGCATCTTTCTAAGAAATGTATGAATGAAAACGTGACATCTGTATACTCACTCTTATGAATTGTTAAACGTTTCAGTTTGGGTACGCCCTTGATGATTAGGCACCGTCACTAATACCATTCAATAAAGTCATACACTACTCAAAACAATAACCCTAGCTATTGTGTTGTATATTTGTCTAGTATTTTCGGGAGTTATTTGAACAATAAAGATAATCTGTTGTCTAGTTTAAACTGTGTCAAAACATAAATTTCTATGTTACGTTCCGTCTATGTTTAAAAATCTAGTTGGAGTCCCTAGTGTAACGCTCATTAAAAGACGCGAAGTCTATCAAATTTCAAATCGTATATAGCTTTTATTTTAACTAAAAGGAGTGAGTAGAGAGTTTAAAACAAGTAGGAGAAAAAATTCCCGTTCTTATAGTTTACATGCCTGATGAGATAGATAATTTAAAATTTATGCACAGTTCATCAAATACATAATGTACGTTAACACTTGTGGTTTAAAGTCAGATTTTGTAATAAGACTAACGGAAAATCCAAAGTATAAAGTTGACTACAAAGTTTAAATAAAGGATGCAGAATTTTAAAGAACCAAATTATAAAAACCAATACCGCCACCACCATAAAAATACCGTCAATGTAAAGGTGACAAGCCAGCTGCCTACAACAATAACTGCCTCTGTGGCCGAACGTTTACCATGCCGGACTGCCACGCAGAGGTCGCAGGTTCGATTCCCGGGCCGGGAGAAATATTTGTATGGCCTACATTTATTTCTCTCGTAAGTTTGGGTGTAATTTGTGGTTGTCTATGTGTATGTCCATGGCACCCGCGACACAGAGTTTCCCTAGCGCGGGTCCATGTAGAGCGAGTGCGTTATAAAAAAAAACAATTTATTGCCTCACAAGCTATTGCTCCCATAATGGTGGCTCTAACTGCAGTAGCTTTAATGATCATGTGGATAACCACACATAACACTCAGCCAGATACATCAGCTGAGTATCAGCGTAATACAAACGCCAGATTCATACATTGATATAGTATATATCATAATATAGTCTTTATGTATAGTATATAGTCCTGTTCAGTGTTGTCGTCTAAACCATACTTTTAATTATTTTTTTTAAAGTTTAATTTGTGTCGAAAGTTATCTATGAAATTTTTGACACAGCTTTTTATTATGTATATAAACAAGTTGTTATAGTTAAACATAATTTTAAAAGACGTTAACTAGCTAAACATAATTTTGAAAAACAATAAAAATTGTGACTCCCAGGACTGACTAGACATTTGCAGAATTCTCCAAGAGAAGCCAGAACTTAAAAAGTGATCTATGAAACAATTCTGATTCAACGTGAATTTGTAGAAACAGTGGTTTATACGGCAACACATCGACACCTCCTACGTAAAGTATCGTATGTCGAAATTGCCAAGTTTACAGGGGAGCGTTTTAAAGTTCTCCGTTTTGTTTGGCAAAACCTCATTACTGACATAAAGTGATCATCTAGTAAGTAGATCATCTAACCGATATCTAGGATTTTACAATACTCTATGTGAGTAACAAGCTTTGCCGAATAAAACTGAGAAATGCTAAAGTCACGTGTTATGCTCATTGCAGTGAATTGAGAACTTTAAAACGCTTCCTTGTAAACTTGGCAATTTCGACATACGATACTTTACGTAGAAGGGGTCGACATAATCGGAAAATATTAACGACATCATGTTATTTTTCGACTTACAAGGTTATAATAATACCCGGGCGTTAGAAACGAGGGTCGCATCCAATTAAGCAATCTTGGTACGAGTTACAAAAGCCGTGGATGTATCGTTCCTCTCCTAACTGTCGTTGCCAATTTGTTTAGGGCAATGTGGAAACACTATTTTAATTCAAAATCGTAATGTTTTTATTTTCATAATATTCATCTTTTTTTTTGTGAAAATACTCCAGTAGTTTGTTATTATTGATACAAAGGTCGAACAAACACAAAGACAAATTCCTTCAACCCGTCTGGTTGGAGTCAGGTCGATAGAATTTTTCTTAGGTATTCGATTTTTATATGAATAATAATGCGAAAACATATTTACTACTTTACATCTGTAGCTGTAGGGTACGGGCTACAGCTATCTCATTCTAGCAGGGTAATTTTCAGATTAGTTTTTTCTACCTGATACCGGTGGCAATTTCATTTAAGTATTCGAGTAAATTATCGTTAAATAACATTTCGGGTTACTACACTCGAATATTAAACAATACTGTCATAGTAATATTTTTTTTATAATACTAAGGTGACGGGACAAACAAGTCGTGCGTCTGGGGATAAGCGACACGCCTATCCGTAACGGTTGCAGTGCCACTCAGATCTTTAAATCGCAAAAATTTTAGGGTCGCTACCACTGCGCTCGTCACCCTGAGACATAAGTTAACATGTCTCTTGTGCCTTTAATTTCACCAGGACCCTTACCCTTTCAAACCGGAACGCAGATTACTGCGTTCCGGTTTGGAGTGGCAGTACGTCTCTGGACGAACTCTTTCACAAGGAGCTCTACTGCGACTAAAATATTCTACAATAATCCCTAATATTCTGCAATGTTACAATTAAATAATAGAAAACGCCACCGTAATTAGATAGAGAAAACTAATCTCAAAATTACCCATCAATGAGTTACATTCACGTATAACAAAAAGGGAAACATATAATGGAGAATGTTAGCATTTGAAAACTAAATAAGATCCGTACGCCTTACTTTGTTATGAGTAGTGGTCGGATAATCGAATGTTTATTTACCAACAATTCGGTTACTCACTAACATGGAATGCGCGTTTGTATCGAAAAATATCCCGCCACACCGGGGTTGACGAAGCTATTAAATATAAAAAGAAAGAAAGATTGAAAGAAATAAAATGTTTAAATGTTATTTATAATTTTATGTAACATTTAAACTAACTTTTATCAAATATAGAAAATATAAAATATAAAAACTTCGGACATTAAGAAAAAAATTGTAAATTTAATATTTTTTCACCGAAATCATCGTTCAAGTTCCAATTTGACACTAAGGGTTATATTCTAGAACTCCACTCAATGCTCAAGTCAGGATTTGATTATGGTTTAAAGCACTCGAAATCATACTCAAGTCCCTGCCATTAGGGACGTATTTCCAGTGCTTGTGTTTCAATGCAATCCTAACTTGAGCATTGAGTAGAGTTCTAGAATACGACCCTGAGATTCAGTTGTCATATTTCTGTCACTCTCAGACCTTTAAGACTTATAGTGAGCCAAAGTGGCGCGACTGAAGTGCGTCTATAAGCGTCTATTTTGAAGGCGCCCTAAGAAGCCGCTGCCATATTTTCATTTAATAATTAATTTAAAAAAACTGAACTAGGTATAAAATGATACAAATATACCGATCACCAATAATGTCAACGTTTTTGTCACGTTAGTTTGATACGTCAGAGAGGAAAGGAACGATATGATAGGTATGCGAAAATCATGTAGTGTGTACCCACTGACTTATCTGTGATATATATGGTGTTGCTTGGTCCTGTAACCATAGTAACTTCGACGTGGTAACTTTTGTTCCCTTTTTGCACACTTTTTGTGATTATCACAGATAAGTTGGTCGCACAAGGTAATTGACTTAGTCTAAATGTATATTCACTCATGGATTTATAAAACGATGCTAAATAATTAGATAGACCATCTTTAGAATTGTTTAGTGGCTGTGGATTTACTGAATAATCGATTATTTCTCGTTATAATTAAATATTAAATGCGTGTAGAGTTGCGAACACGAGCGTGTAGCTGTTTATGTTACGGTTTTTGCCTAGAAAAGGCATGAAATTTAAAAACCAATGTTGGCGTGGTTGTTTGCTCTGAAATATGTTGCTTTTTGCCGTAGTCGGGTAAATACAAATTGTAAAAACAGTAGTACGAGTAGTAGAACGAGTAACGCTACTCATTATCTAAAACTTTCTGCATTTGCAAGAACATTTACAATGTATACGAACAGATGAGAATGTTTACGTACTAAAATTAATAATTTGGGGTGGTATAAAAATATATATTAACTCGGCATAAATATGTCATGAGTGATTAGCGATTTTTGATGATGACAAAATGTTTTTAGATACACTTTCCGCTTTCCGCTCTTATCCGCCGCTCTATACGCACCCCTTAATGTTAGGTAGATATCTCAATAACGAGCTTAAACTTGTTTATCATAAAATTTGTGTTCGTGCAATTTTTATCATAGTTACTTATTACATACTAATTATTTAATTGAAATGTGTGTTGTTTTCCTAATATTAAAATTTTAGAATAGTTCTAGATATCAATGGGTTTGGAAATTAGACCTCTAATAAAAAATCCTCGTTTTATTTGTTTTTTTTTTTGTTTTATTTGAATATATTATAAAATGTTGGCTGGCTGTATTGCTTCATCGAACCTCTCAAAATAAGCTCTTACTACTACCAAATTTACTCGAAATTGTTACGGACAAAACGCACCCTAAAAACAATCAATTAACATTACTCTAATAAACTTTTCGACGAAACGACACATACGGTCAAAAAGCGAGACAATATTAAAAAACGCACAACTCGTTTTGATTTCCAAATCCATGCAATATAATTAATTAATAGTATAACATAAGTTGCAACGAATATCTTAATCACAAAGGTA